GAATTAATTCTCTACCTTAGTCCAACCCTTCACTCTGCATCACATGCATGGTTCCTATGTCAATACAATTTCTTGATTTAAGGAGGAAATTACTCCGCAAATTAAAGTTTTTTATTTATTAAATGTAACTATGTTACTTGAAAATCGCAACTATTTCAATTATAATAAAAATAAATATGATTTTTTATTCAACAAGTGTAATTATTTTATATAAAATATTTTTCGGTTCCTATGATTTTTTATTCAAGATAAAATATTACACTTTGTTCACTAATATACTTATTTATATATAAATATAGAATATAAAAATATGATATTTCATAAGTACACTTCAAAACGAATCTATTGATACTAAGTTGATATCAGAATTCAATGATTAATCATATCTTTTCTATAAATTATGGTCAAAGTTTTAAAATGTAACCATAAAAATCAAACTTAAAGAAAAATATAGGGTGAAAGGTGTAATAGAAAGATATGGAGTTTACTTTATACAATTTTTTATATAAAATAATTACACTTGTTGAATAAAAAATCATATTTATCTTTATCATATTTATCATATTTATTAATGTGATCATTCAATCATCGGCGATCTACGGCGGCACTCTGGTGGCTAGCAGCGATGGATTGCTATGTGGCGGTGATAATGTGACAGTTACAATGTGACAATATAGTCAGTGTGACAGTGTAACAATAGAAGTGTGAGCTCCTATTTAATCTTTTCATAATTTTTTACTCCTATCTAGGGACTTATCAATTTAGAATAGAAAAATTTGTACTAAATAGGACTAAAACATAAGCTATTTCTTAATCTAGAATTTAAACTTTTTTATTCACTAAATAGAACTTAATAATGTCTAGTAGGAGGAATAATGTCCACTGATGATGATATTTACTTGAATAATGACTAATAGATGATGACCAATAGTCCTAAATTAGAAAAATAAAAACATATCATCTTGAGAATTGAAAGTCATTATATTTTAGTCTTATTTAAGTAAATTCTTCTTTAGAATATTAAAAAAAAAAAGTTCATGGGCCTGGACAACCGAGAATGACAAAGGTGAAAAAATAATTCCGGCAGCTGGCAGCCTATATATAGATCGAACCAGTGCCAAAGCCGAAACAACTCAGCTCACTCATAAAAAAATATACTCCGTGTATATATATATTCAAAGTTTCATTTTCAGAACAGCAAAAGAGATAGAAGAAGATTTTTTAAACAAAATTTGAAGAAATGGGTCCTTCGTCTTCTTCATTTCGCTCAAATGCAGCTGCGTTCTTCTTTGTGGTGCTTATCATAGCCACCGGTTTTCCTTCCGGTTTGCTTCATTTCTTCTAATCTTTCATCATGCATGCTTAATTAATTCTTCTTGTTGGAGTTGTATATTTTTGCATTTAATTTATTAAATATTGGATGCATATACACTAAATGAAAAAAAAAGGATGAGCCCAATCCCCGAGGTCCCCTTCAGATCCGGCCAAACGGTCGCTGAGAGAAGGTAAATTGGACTTTGATCGCAGATTGGTGGCAAAGAGTGGAGCCTGCATTTGGTACTTGCAGAGGTCCTATGCTTAGCATAGTTTCCTCCTAACGCGGTGTCTAGAAATCGAACACAGATCTTATTGCATTGGCACTCCTTGCCTTTACAAACTACGCAACGCCCACCGGCGGATGCATATACTACTCCCTCTGTCACTAAAAACGCGGGAGGTTTTGATTTTTAAAAGATTTAAGGAAAGTGTATTTTGGTGTTAATTTTCCAAAAGTATCCTTAGATGTGATAGATAGATTAATAGTGAATAGATTTGGTGTGATATATATGTTAAGAATTAATAGAGATAAAAATGACTTTTTAATAGAAATGATAAAATCTTTTTGAGACGGATGAAAAAAAGAAAAAAAATATAATTTCAGAGACGGAAGGAGTATATGTAGTTAAAATATATGGTGTAAAAGTTAATTCCTTCATCCCTAAAAACAGTTTCACTAGGGTGGAGGATGGTATATATAACCTCCGTACTTTTTATACTGTTTTTCTCTCATTCACATCAGTGTCAAATCAGATCTTACTAATTATAAGAGCATGAACAATGGTGAGGCAAAAATGGAATGTCACACGCTGACGTGGAGTATTTCAACCAATAAAAAATAGTCCTGTCAACGAGTGGCACGTGAGTGGAGTGGCATGTCTTGCAGTGGCAAGTCATTGTTTTCATCATTTTTCATATTTTTTCCATATTTGAATTATTTAAAATTATTTTACTTATATATTTTTATCATGAAAATATTTCTATTTTCTCAAATAAATAAATTTTTTAAATATATTTTAATTATTAAAAATATTTTTGTTATCTACTCCATATTTTTATTTATTCCTTCATCTCAAATTAGATTATGATTTTAAAACTACGATGCAAAACTCTTTGTTTTTAAAAATTATTTTATTTAAAAATTGGTATACGAATTAAAAATAAAACTTATAAATTTAAAATTTACATCAAAAGTTCTACAAAAAAAGATGTGACAAATTTTTTTTAATTAAATAATCAATAAAAATAATAAGTAAACAAAAGTTATCAAGGGGTGAAAAAAATTATAATTTATTAAGAGACAAAGAGAGTAAAAAGTAGTTCTACTTCCTTCTAGAAAATTTTTTTTTCCTTTTTTTCTTTTTTGAGGAATTCTTTCTCACAAATAAAAGGGAAAAAAAAGAAAAAAAATAGGCTTACATGCCTCGCATAAGCCTTGCTGACCGTGGAGAAATGGTAGTCCCACGCGAGTAAGGTTTGCTTCTCATCCGATCTGGCAGGGCGTGGCATATGGACGGATCGCCACTACTGATGCTCTAATACTATAAATGGTGGTATACGTACCCAATTCACTGACTTACTATAACCATATATTTTAATAATTAACTTAAACTAAGAATGACAATTAATTTTAAAATAGTTTTTTGAATATTTAATTGTTTTATAATTAATTCTACTAATAAATAATTTTAAAATATAAAGTGTAAATATTTAATTAGTACAACAACATTTCATTTATTTAAACAAAATTACAATACTAGATAAAAGAAAATACTAATCCAAAATAAAAAAATATAAAAACTACAAATAGTAATTTTGTGAGATTTGTGACCATTTTGTTTGTGAACTAAATATTTCCCTCATTAAAAACTTACTTTTCCCTATATTAAATATTCCGTAGTATTTTAACCCATATCACGTATGGGGTTAAACAAGATTAAATTTGTTCAACTATATGTTAAAATATAAGAAATATTTTCTGGACCAGAACCACAAGCTTGAGCTTTTGGTTGAGTTGGTTCCTTGACATGCTATCGGAGCAGGTTTTGGCCCACTTCGTTTGTCATGGTATCGGAGGAGATTTTTTCTTCTATTTTTCTAAGGCTATTTTTTTAAAAAAATTCTACTTTGTAATTCTTAGGGTTCATTTGATTAGGAGAAAAGAGATGAATTCCCACCTCATGTCTCCCCCTCCTTCCCTTCCCTCATCCAAATGTGTGACTAGTAGGCAATTAATAGTCACATATTTAGAGGCGAGTGGCTGAGGTGGATAATTAGTAAAAACTATCAATTTTGAAAAGTGGCATCGTTGCTGAACGGCAACGAAAAGGAGCCATTTTTGATATGATGAATAATTGGTGATATATATACACACACAGACACATATATATAATGCATGTATATATGTATGCAGAGATGGGAGGTGGATTAATGAAGAAGGAGAAGAATTGTAATAAGAAGATGATGGTGGGCGCGCAGCAGCAGCAGCAGCAGCAGCAGCAGCAGCCATGTGGTGAACCTGGATCGCTTATGTGCATGAGCGACTCCTACTGCAGTACGCAGTGCTATAACCAAGGTTGCCCCTCGCACGCATGCGACCGTAAAACCCATGCTTGCAACTGCTACCAATAATTAATTAATTACTCGTAATCAATATATATAGTAATTAATAATCCATATTACTGGCAGGCAGATATAATCCTTGCGATGCCATATGTATCCAATAAATCACTTTTAATTTCCATGCATGCCTGCAGCAAACTAGCTAGCTACCATACGCCCTGAATTATATTAGGGAATGAATCTATATACATCTATTATATTCAAGCATATATCTTTATTTCCTTTTCTTTCCTCGATGCATGTATTCATCACCACCCGCCGCTCGCCCTCTTTAAGTAATAAATTACTTTCTGTTTCTATTAATTACTCCGTATAATCCCCTTTGTTCCTAAATGTTTAGTGCATTTCAAAAAACGAGGAAAAATACTACAGTAAGTTTTTGTTGGCCGAGAGGTCCGGATCCGGAGAATTGGAAGTATGACTTCCGCATCCCGAGAGATCCGGATATGGAGAGGTCCGGATCAGGAGAAATCCGAATTCCGAGATGTCCGAATCTCGAGAGGACCGAATCCTGAAGATGACCGAATCCCATTCTAATTGGGATTGATCTTGAGTTATTTGTTTCCTAGTTTGATTATTGATTTGTTTCCTTGTAGAATTTTGTATTCCTTGTCTATTTTGGAATTATCCTCTCCTATAAATAAAAGAGAAACCTCTTGTAATTAAACAAGATAATTCAATATACATAATATTTTTCCTCTTATTAATTTCTACAGTTTTTCTATTCATTTTATTTGAATATTGACATAAAATTCACCTAAATAGTACTAAAACATAGTGAATTTTCCAATGTAGCACCATATATTTTTATTTTTCAATGTAGTATCACTGGTCATTGTCCACTGGACATTTTTGAAACTAAATGTCCATCATCACTGAATATTGAGAAATGACGCATGTTTTAGTACTATTTAATGCAGATTTTACAATTTAAAAACTTAATGAAAATCTCTTTAAAATAAACAAAACTTATCGAGAACATAGAGATAAAAAATTATAGTCCGTAACCAATTTCAATTTAAGCCGGAGGAAGTATTTAGCTTTGCAGTTGTACACAGACCATACATATATAAAATGACCTAACCTATTTTTTACTTGGGACATGGTCCAAAAATATTGGATTTTGAACAAAGCTTTTGTTGACCGAACCCAAAATGACTAGGAAAAAATGGATCAAACTTGATTGAACTTGAACGTGACCTGACTGACCCGCTAATGTAAGACTTCATTTGGTACATTGAATTGGAATTGGAATTTTATGTAATAGAATTGAAATAGTAAAATTCTAAATTTTTTGTTTGGTAAACATAACTATGGAACTAATATATAGAGAATTGTATTTTTATTCCAAATTCTTTGTTTGGTAACACAATTGTATAAATAATTTAGTCCGTAATACTAAGGCTCCGTTCCGTTCAACTTATTTTTTCTGATCTGATCTGATTTTTGTAGTTCTGATCTGATTTGATCCGATTGAATCTGATCGGATCTGATCTAATCTAATCTGATTACACCTGATCTGGTCTGATCTGATTGGATCTGATCTGATCTGGCCTGATTTGATTACTTATAATTTGATTTAAAATTCAAATTAATAATTTGATTTGACTTTATTATAACTTTTGAAAATTGTAATGATTATTCTTATTATAATATAATCAATATTTTTTATTTTATGATTATTTTTTAATGAAATAAAATTAGTTAATTCATATATTAGAATAATCATTCATATTATAATGTAATAATTTTTTTATTTTATTATTTTTTATGAAATAAGAATATTGATTTAATATTTTAATAATTAGTTCATATATACATTAGAATAAATAGTTAATTCATATATACATTAAAAGTAATTAAATTTAGATAAACAATATAGAGAAGAGATAGTATTTTTATTAAAATATATCATCCTTATAAAATATCAGCATGTGTTTTGTACTACGAAATTTTTTTTATGATTGATATAACACCATATAGATATAATAGTTATTTCAGTTACACTAGTCTAAAATATACTCCGTATATGATATCAAATGTTAATTTTATTTAAGTCATTATTAAAACTGATCAACTCAATGTAGTAAAAAATCAAAACTTTAGAAACTTAAATTACAGGTAGTAATAAAAATGTATTTTAAAAGTATAATTAGATTGACATTGTTAATGCATTTTAAAAATAAATTTTCTGACGTCTAATAATTAAAGATTACTTTCTCAGTTTTCTATTTAACTTGTTTCTAAAGTTTATTCTTTTTCATTTTTAAGAATAATAATAATAATAATAATTCTTGATTGGATTTGATCTGATTGGATCTAATTAGGTCTGATCTAATCTGATTAGATATGATTTGGTATGTTCTAATCTGATATGATTTTAATAAGACTAAGAAAAATACAGAAAAAATAAGTTGAACGGATTGGGACCTAATTGTAGAACACAATTGTATAAATAATTCTTTGTTTGGTAACACTTACTCCGGGGTATAAAATTGTACTTTAGGTGTTTGAAAAGGTCGTGACTTAATGGAGAAGTCATGTTTGAACTATCCATCTCAAAAATTATGTATTTAATTATTTTGAAAAAATTGAAGGCTAATGTAATTAACACAATCATCGCCGGAGTTTGCCGTGAAATCCTAAAGCGATCAACTTGTGATTCTTCGCCAAATTAATCAAAGTGAGTTGCGGTTTCATATATCTATTATTAGAATTAATTTGTAAACTAAGATTCTGTAACACCCTAATCCGTCCAGGTCTACGGCTCCAAACGAGTTCCTCTAATTTGGTTTATGGATCCCGTACGTACGTTTTTACCCAAGGCCACCGAATATACGTTTTATACCCGCAAGGCCCATTCTAATGAGAGGTCTATCTTAGAGGTCTTCTAAGTAGCCTTAACAATACGATTCATTAATGTAAAATTTGCACTAAATAGGACTAAAACATAATGCCTTTCCCAATATAGGACTTAAACTTTTTTATTCCCTAAATAGGACTTAATAATGACCTAGTGAGAAGAATAATGTCCAATAATGATGGACATTTACTTGAATAATGACTACATGATAATGACCAAAAGTCCTACATTGGAAAATAAAAACATATGATCCTATATTGGGAAAGTCATTATGTTTTAGTCCTATTTAGGTAAATTTCTCTTCATTAATTCATTATTCTCAATTTAACAATTCATGATCGTCATTCAGAATATTCATCATCATTAATTCATCACAATCCATAACCAAACAATCATCATAACATTTAACAACAAATAGCGGCCTAGCATCGAGTGTTAACACCCGAATTTACCGTCATACATCACATAATGTTTATATGTCAAAACATCATTTTTATTGTACAAAATCATATTTCTATTATCCATAATTAAATAGGATTTTAAAACCCAAAAACAGCATTTTCGTAGCTAACTGTGTTCGGAACGGTCGACCGTTTTCAGGTGACGGTCGACCGTTAATGTAGCAGCGGTATGGAGGCTTCTGGTCTCAGAACGGTCGACCTTCGTGGAGGGACGGTCGACCTTTTGTCAGAACTGTCGACCTTTTCTGCAAACCAGCCAACAGTGCTTCATCTTCAACCTCGGGTCAGATTTTCGAACACTCATTTTTAGCCACCCAACTTCAATTAAATTATATAGAAATTTTCTCTAATGTTCATAGATCATTTAAATACTATTAATTCGAAGTTTTAACAACAATTTCAAGGTTTATGATTCTTGATTCTTCAAGCATGTCAAACACAAAACTCAACCAAACGACCGTTTATGAACGTTGAAACGATCTATACAAACATTCTAGTCATTAGATATATCTACGGGCTTACCTCAAAGCTTAATGGAGGTTTTGAATATTTTACGGCGAAACTTCCGGCAGCAAAAGCTTTCAACTCCGGCGACCTCTCACAAAATTGAAAGCACCACAGCGTTTCTCTCTCAACAAAGAACAAAATAAGAGGAAAAATGGAGAGATTTGGTGAAGAATTGGGAAGATGATCCCTCCTTATGTAATGGTGAAGGGGAAGAAGAAGACATTATGATGAGTCTGACTTCCTCTTTCACGATCTCAATTCGGCGCAGTGAGATGTGGGGTGATTTAGTACGCTACTTCCCTGATTGGGACCTATTTTGGTTCCAGTTGGGATACACTTTTTTGGCCAACTTTCTCCGAATTGAATTCCGGTTGCACCGTTGCGATCAGACAGACGAACTCTGTCCAACGATATAATTTTTATATTTATTTGTAACACTTTTTCCGACGTCATATTTTTGGGTGTTTGACTTTGACAGAGTCAAAATTGATTCAATTGACTTTTATTCAAAAAAGTTCTCATAATTAATTCATATTAATTATTCTCATGATTTATTTGAATAAATCATTTTAATGTTCACATCATAATTAATTTTTTCATTTATTCTTGATTTGAGTCTGTACTCGGGTTTCCAATCAAGACCACACAAATAGTCAATAAATTGGATTTATCTCTATGAGATTTATCCTGATTGTGATATTGGATATCAAAACATATTTCTTATCAGCCCAAAGCCCAATAACAATTTATTTTAATCAAAACAAATTTGATTAATTTTAATAATTATCTATTAATAATTTTAGGGTATGTTTTGGGGCGTTACAACTAAATAATAGATGATAAAATAATTTAAGAATATAGTGTTAAAGTTTAAACAAAAAACGTCATTGTATGTAGGGGTGAGTATGGTACGGTATTTAGCTCGTTTCGATATCGTACAAAATATTTCGGTTTGGTATGGAATTTTACTCCGTACCGATCCCGATCCCGAAATATCGGTTCGGTATGGTTCGGGATGGTTCCGTATCGGTTTCAATACAAATCGGGATGAATATACGTACCTACTTTACACGTTAAAATTTAACAATACCCCTTTATTTTTTAAAATTAAAAGTGAATTTAAATATAAAAAACATGAAAAATTAAAAAAAAATTAAATACAAGAGATGCGTATCAAAACTTAGTTTATATTTCACAAACTAAAAAAATAAATGACAACACAGGAGTATTTCGAATCTTTGTGAATACTTTTATGTTATACACAAAAATTAAAACTCAAATAAAAGTATAATTTACATATCATAGAACTTGAACCAAATTTTTTTTAAAAATTTATTATTTAGTGAAAGAATATAAAAATATTACTCCGGGGTATTAATTTTTTTATATTTTAGTGTATATGTTTGGTACGGGATTTTCGGTATGTGACGTCATCTCGTAATGTTCCCGAATACCGTACCGACCAT